GCCGGCCTGGTGGCGCGCTAAAGAGCGCGCTGCTTGGGAGTGTGGCGGCGCTCCCGCCGAGGGTTCGGATCCCATGTGGAGACCGGTTCCCGCTCACTGGCTGAGCGCGGTGCGGGCGCAACACCGAGGGTTGCGATCCCATTACCGGTCAGTAAAAAAGACAAAAAGGAAAAAAAAAAAAAAAAAAAAAAAGGAAAAGCACCAAACTAGGGGGCCAGGAGAATTACATTTCTATTAAATAATGTATTCTTAAAAAAAAAAAAAAAAGTATTCTTTCACATTCTGTTCAGTGTAAGATTTTAGCCTACCAAATTTACTTGAACCTATAAAAGAACGCAATGTAAAGCTCAAGCTGTACCTTTTCTTGATTGCTTACTTTATCGACTACCTATCCAAGGAGTAGGGAGAAAAAATAAGAGAGTCTAAAAGGCAGAGGTGGAATAAATTTGGGTACAGATTTACTCCCTATCAAATGCTTATGTAACATCACACACAATTCACAAAGTAAATTTGTATTAGAACAAGGTGTTGTATGCAATTTTAGAAAAGACTAATTACCTAGAGTCCCTAACTAGCCACAGCTCATTTACCCAAAGGAAAAAAACAATGAAACTACATAAGCTCTATTAACATAATTTATCAATATCTTCATCCCAATGAAATAGTAAAGTTAGTATCTTAGTACCATCTCCGGAAGGTCTGATAAATGCCTATTCAATTTGAAAACTTGCCTACAAAAGAACGGTCATCCTATACAAAATGCTAACAAGTACTCAATACTTTTATTTCATTTTCTATGAGTGTAGCTCTTATATAACTGCCCCAAAAGATAGAGAGCCTTAAATAAAATACAAATAATTCTATTCCTGAAAAGGAAAAAAAAATTAAAATAGTGAACAACTCACTGTTAAGTTGTCTCTAAGCAACTGCATGATGAGGGTGCTGTCTTTGTATGAGTCTTCATTCAGTGTATCAAGTTCTGCAATGGCCTCATCAAAAGCCTGATAAATATTAATATCCATGGTAAATAATATTTGCATCAACAGAAACTAGTTATTCTACAATTATGAACCATTTTCATAAAATAGGTGAACACTGACCTTGCATTCTATTATCAATTAACAACAAACTCAGTGGAATCATCCCCTCAGATTCTCAGTTTAAGAACTTATAAGCATGACCTGAAACTTATGAAGCTGTATGTATTTAATAAGTAAATAAGCATTTCTTGGTTCTTTCACATGACACATAACACAACAGTAACGCTTAATACACTTTTTACAAATAAGAACTAGTATTTATTTGCAAAAGACCCTATTTACTCTTCCATGTTGAGACACTTTGAGGAATGCAGCTAATGCTGTTCCTCTAAGTAACCAAACCTGGCAGGCAATACTTTCTCATCTTTTATGTTTCCTCCTTAAAGTTATTCATACTTCTTTGATTACTCTACCTAATATGCTCTTTAGACAAATATTATTGCTTATAATCATAGTTAAGGGACAGTAGGTATGGAGAGGGATAAGGGAAGGTGGTCATGATGGTAAGAAAAAGGAGGAGATACACAAATAAATAAGGTAGAAATCATCTCTGGATATCCAAATAAAACACCTAGAAACGAACATCCATGGTATCTCAAATAACCTTAGCTAAAGAGGGCATTTTCTGGACACACATCTTACCGTTTTCGCCAATGTGCAGGCAAGCTCTGGGTTATTAAGGATCTCATAGTAAAATACAGAAAAGTTAAGAGCCAGCCCCAGGCGTATTGGGTGTGTGGGTTGCATCTCTTTCTTGCTTATATCAAATGCCTCTTGGTAAGCTCCTTGGGAATTATCTATCGTTTCTGTGAAGGGAAAAAAATAAAAATAAAAAAGCATGATACTGAAAATGCACATTAACAACTTTAACATAAGCTACTAGCTCTTGGTAGAATCAGATTTTTCTCTGCAGCCTTCTTTTATAAAACCATAGTAGCAAACCAAAAACATTATCTTGTAATGGGTATTTAAAAACTAGTTTATAAGGTTGCTTGCTTATGATCAGCTTTAATTAAAAAAAAAAATGAGATAGTATAATCAGCTTCTTCCATCTCTAGGGCTAAAATTATTTTCTTCTTTCATACCTTTTAATTCTATGACTCCTAAATGTAACGATTAAAAATAGTTTCATTGGAATACCCGTTCCCTAAACAATGAAAACATTTTGCAAAGATCATCACCACCAAAATCCCTGTATTTCTGTGACTTATTTGTAGAAACAATAGTACTGATCCCTGGTATGAAGATGTATTTTGTGACAGGCAATATAAAAGTACCAACGTACAGAATTAGGGAATTATTTGGGCAGCTGGCCAGTAAGAGGATCTGAACCCATGACTTTGGTGTTACCAGTACTATGCTCTAACCAAGTGAGTTAACAGGCCAGCCCAAGTGCCAATATATAAAACAAAATTTGCTTTAACCAGAGTCTGATTAGCGGCCTAATAAAATGTCACCCATCTCAAAATATGTTTCGATAAAGTATTACCAACACTAACCTGATTATATCCATGTTTTGAAAAGGGCAATTTTCTGTATGAGGCCACTGGGCCCATTACAGCTTACTGAAGTATCAGAAATTAAGCTATTCCTTCACGGCCTGAATGTGTGCGTTTTCCTTCCTCTGAAATAGCATATTTATTGATCTAATCATGACTGGTACAGCTCTCATGTAATAAGAAGCTCCAGAAGACAGTGAGTAGTAATTAAGTGTCTCAGCTCTTAGGCTGTAAAGGCAGCCTACCTACAAATCCTAGACTATCAGAATGTATGTAGGACTATATGTGGGACTTGAAAGTGCCAATGAGCAAGGAAGTGTTAAATCAGATTAATACCAGAGGCTATGTCCCAATCTTTGACCCGCTGATATTTAAATGTTTAGTTCTGTGCCTATATTTTCATCTTTCATACCTTTTAATTCTATGACTCCTAAATGTAACGATTAAAAATAGTTTCATTGGAATACCCGTTCCCTAAACAATGAAAACATTTTGCAAAGATCATCACCACCAAAATCCCTGTATTTCTGTGACTTATTTGTAGAAACAATAGTACTGATCCCTGGTATGAAGATGTATTTTGTGACAGGCAATATAAAAGTACCAACGTACAGAATTAGGGAATTATTTGGGCAGCTGGCCAGTAAGAGGATCTGAACCCATGACTTTGGTGTTACCAGTACTATGCTCTAACCAAGTGAGTTAACAGGCCAGCCCAAGTGCCAATATATAAAACAAAATTTGCTTTAACCAGAGTCTGATTAGCGGCCTAATAAAATGTCACCCATCTCAAAATATGTTTCGATAAAGTATTACCAACACTAACCTGATTATATCCATGTTTTGAAAAGGGCAATTTTCTGTATGAGGCCACTGGGCCCATTACAGCTTACTGAAGTATCAGAAATTAAGCTATTCCTTCACGGCCTGAATGTGTGCGTTTTCCTTCCTCTGAAATAGCATATTTATTGATCTAATCATGACTGGTACAGCTCTCATGTAATAAGAAGCTCCAGAAGACAGTGAGTAGTAATTAAGTGTCTCAGCTCTTAGGCTGTAAAGGCAGCCTACCTACAAATCCTAGACTATCAGAATGTATGTAGGACTATATGTGGGACTTGAAAGTGCCAATGACCAAGGAAGTGTTAAATCAGATTAATACCAGAGGCTATGTCCCAATCTTTGACCCGCTGATATTTAAATGTTTAGTTCTGTGCCTATATTTTCACATCCAATTCTCTTATCTTTATGATAATATCTTCAATTACACTGATACTTAGGATGGTAAAATGGACTCATTTTCAGTTAATAACTCAGTAAGAGGTCATGGTGACTATTTGTGGGGGTGCACCTTTTGGATGGGGCAAAATGAAGAATAATACACTTACTGGAAAAAAAATAAGGAGTTAAGTGATACTTCTACCTAGATCTTAAATGTGGTAGCAGGCACATACACAAAATTTAATAGTGTCTATATTATATGCCACCACTAATACCCTAAGAGACTGAGTTCACTGCTAATAAATTTACTTTGACTTTTTAACAATCAAGTTAGGCAATTTGATTACTCTTTTTCCCAAATCCATGCTTTCTTTTTTTTTTTTTTCCTTTTTGTCTTTTTTACTGACCGGTAACGGGATTGCAACCCTCGGTGTTACTAGTTTATCAATGAACAGCTCCTGTGTATTCACCCTTCTAGAGTAAAACCTAACCATGTGGGTCACTCAAATTTACTGTGAGGTTGGAACAAATTATACAGTAGCAATAATACATTCATCTCACCTCTCCTCCGAAATTTGGTTAGCAGTCAATGTTACGACCCTTTAAAATAGGTGCTAGTTAATGAATTAACAAGACCAACAGAAAAAGTACAATATCCTCTATGTTGTATATGTAATTTCTAACTATCTTATATTTTAAGGCATAGTAACACTAAAGGCCATGTGAAATACATGATCACTTATAACATATATGCAAAGGACTCTGGAACTAAAAAGATGGTGAATCAAAATTCTAAAGCATAGAAGATTAAGCCTGTTTTTAATAATACCCATATCAGATTAAAACTAGAGGTCATATATGAGTTTAATTTTTTTAAGGGCATATAATGTAAATTCATGACTATATTTCCATTTTTGAGCACAAAAGGTAATATTCATTTTCTTAACACATAGATTCCATTTTTTTTTAAAAGTTACAAAGAGCATGGAAACTACATATAGACTATTGTCACAGTATCCCATTTATCCCCACTTCCTTTTTTTATATTATAGCTTTACTCATATTTACTTACGCTTTCGATCATCACCACATGCAACTTCAGCAAGGTACCGGAAGTAATCTCCCTTCATTTTCAGATAGAAGACCTTACTCTCTGGATTAGTTGCATTGGCTATTAAATACTTATCCAACAATTCCTGAAAGAAATAAGATAAAACATTAGGCATTAACAAATGCTATTTAATTATAGACAAGAACTTATAATGATATACTTCTGCCTATCTCGCATTTGAATCATTAACTACCACAGTAATACAATACCATACCAGCCTGGACCTGAAGCATGTTCTTAGGGCGGGATCAGGTTGGTGCCATTAGTTGTCCTGGCAGGCTTTAAATGATATGGCCCATAGTTTCTACTGACAAAGCTAGATTACACCAAACACTGTAATTAGAAACAGCCTGTTCACTCATCCATTCATTCAACAAATATTTACTGATAAGTGCTAAGTGCTAGGTATTTGACCAGAGTGGACATAGATAGAGAAGAGCTCAGATAAGATCCCTGCCCTCAAGAAGCTCACAGTGTAAGTACACCATTAACTATGCACTTTAAGAGATATATGAAGGGCTGGCCCGGTGGCGCACTCGGTAGAGTGCGGCGGCGCTGCCGCCGAGGGTTCGGATCCCATATAGAGACCGGTCCGCTCACTGGTTGAGCGTGGTGCAGGCACGACACTGAGGGTTGCGATCCCGTTGCCGGTCACGAAAAAAGACAAAAAGGAAAAAAAAAAAAAACTTTTGACTCATTTGCATATACCCATTACGTATGATTTACAGTGTTGGGCTTTTATAAAGTGACTTGGGCATTACTTCTGTCCTGGAGTTTCAGCCAAGTATCATGGTACTTTGTCAGATACCACTAGTTCTCTGTGTAGGAAACAACAGGTACAGAATGATTCTATCTTTCCATATATTATCAGTAGCAGAAATGTATATTTTAGTCCAATTAAAAGACACAATGAATTTTGCTTCATGTCTTACCAAAATAATGGCTGTATCTAGTATTATCAATGCCAGGTATTAATTATTAATACCAGACAGAATACAGGGTATAAACACTTAAGATATATAGCCTACTTGTACGACTTAATATGTAAGAATTTTTAAACTATAAAAAAATTCAACACAGATCAGAGAGAAAAAAACTGAAAAACTGACAAGTAGCTCCCTGAAAATCTTTCCAAATAAGGGTACTGGTAAGAAGTCAGGAGTGAGGAAGGGAATCGGTTTTAACACACATGTAGTTAAAAGTTCCCCCACTAATTTCTTCTGTACATTATTCTGATGAGTTAAGCAGGAGCTCCCCCTTGTAAACTCTTCAAAACCAGCAAATTTTATGATCTTGGGAGGTTAAGAGGGCTAAGACTGGGACTCCCTCCAGCAGCAACAGTGTTATTTGACTAGAAGGCAGAATGCAAGGAGGAGTACATTCCTTTTTGAGAATGTGAGAGAACTGTAAAGAGGTCAGGGTATTACTATCCACAATAACAAGATAGACTAGTAACTGAGGGCACTCTAGATCAGAGAAACAAGGAAAGTAAAAGGAAAGAATATAAATAAGAATACAGGTTGTTTTAGGAGATGCTGAACGACCTTAGAGTAAGTTTAATCTCAGAAAAATAGGATGGGATACCACAAAAACTGTAAAGAACTATGTAAGAAATGAAACTGCTGAGAAATAATATTCATGCAAATTTAGAATAACTATTTCTCCTGTTCCTCACACTCCTATGTCTTAAAGGCTAGGAAGAATAACAAAACCAATACTAATTCTATCTCTAAGAGTTAACCATTTGTGCATATAACAATTCTACCATCACTTCAATAGCTTTTCCAAAATAATTAATTTGGCTTCAGTGGTGATATTCTATAGCGCCAAACAAACTACTCTTTTTCCTCTAAATTCATTTATAAGTGATTTCTGTTTTACAGACAAAATAAGCTGCTCTTGTCTCTCATTTAAAATTATACAGCATTGATTTATTTAAGAAAGAGTATGTACTGATGAAGGTCCTTAAGATCAACAGTAAACAAAAAAAATGATCTAAGGATTTTTAATTTCCTCTATCAGCTCAGTGAAATTCATTAATAAACACACTATTAACATGTTCAATCTTTAATTTTAGGGTATATATGCAAGTCACTATCCAAATATTTTTATCAGTTTAATCAGCACATAAATATACCTTAAATGGAGCATATCTAAGAGAGATAAGGCCAAACAAACTTCAGTTAGAGATTGCTCCCAGCGCCGCACTCTCCCGAGTGAGCCATGGGGCCAGCCCTAGAGATTTATTTATTTTATTTTTTTTCCCTTTTTGTCTTTTTTCGTGACTGGCAACGGATTGCAACCCTCAGTGTCGCGCCCGTACCGGACCGGGACCGGCAACGGGATCGCAACCCTCGGTGTTGCGCCCACACCTCGCTCAGCCAGTGAGCGGGAACCGGTCTGTATGTGGGATCCGAACCCTCGGCGGGAGCGCCACCGCGCTTCCCAAGCGGTGCACTGTAGCAGTGCGCCACCGGGCCGGCCCCTAGAGATTTATTTTTAATTAGTTAAACAAACAAAAGGGACAGAGTAACTTTGTGTTATTTCAGAATATATGAGCCTGAGAAGTTAGATTATCATTTGTGAAACTTACTTTGATACTGTCATTCACTCTGTGATCTTGTGGCAAATCACAGCTTCTCAAGTGTCTGTTTCTATAACTATATAATGACAGTACTATGATCTAAAAGCCTTTTAATCTCAGAAATTATCATTCTACTAATGAGTATAACTGCTTGGGTTAAATCTCATAAAGGATCTGTTGCATTAACTAAGGAAGCAATGAATCAAATAAGACTTTATCCAGGTTGATCATATAACATCAATTCATCTATAGAAATATTTTCTACCATTAATAAAATTATTGCATTGAACAGTTAATTGTCCTTACATTATTTAAAAATATTACTGATTTTGGGCCGGCCCCGTGGTGCACTGCTACAGTGCGCTGCTTGGGAGCGCAGCGGCGCTCCTGCCAAGGGTTCGGATCCCACATACAGACCGGCCGCTCACTGGCTGAGCGAGGTGCGGGAGCAACACCGAGGGTTGCGATCCCGTTGCCGGTCCCAGTCCGGTACGGGCGCGACACTGAAGGTTGCGATCCGTTGCCGGTCACGAAAAAAAAAAAAAAAAAAGACAAAAAAAAATATATATATATATTACTGATTTAGAACTGTTAAGACTCAGTATCTAAAAGTGATGAATTCTATACCCCTCTGGTGCCATATTAAGTTCATTAAAAAAAGAAAATGAACTAAGGAACGAAGTAAAAAATTTTCATAGATAGAAGCAAACCTCATGACCAAAATGACTTATCCTATAGGCTGTGATTTAGCTGACATCACATGGCACATGACATCAGTCAGAGCCCAAACTCAAGTTGCACAGTCGAATCAGATCCTTACTTCCTTGTATCCCCCTCAAGATTAAAATTTTCATTTAAGCATATGCCAAATTCCAAACCTCTATAACCAGACATTTTAACTATGAAGTGTGCTGGAGGAGTAGAGTGACCATATGCCCTAGACTGCTTGGAACCATCCCATTTTAAGCCTGCTGTCCTAGTATAATTATGAAATGCTATTTCTTTTCATGCTTAGAAGTATCCCGCTGTGGAAGATATTGTATGATCACCCTACAAATAAGGCATTAACATTATAATTCAAGGCTGGCCAGTTAGCTCAGTTGGCTAGAGTGCAGCCTTTCCAAGGTCACGGGTTTGGATCCCCATATCAGCCAGCAGCCAAAAAACCAAAACAAAATAAAATAAAATTATGATTCAAAATATTATTTCAACACTTAAAAGTAAGAAATTAAATCTTGCTGTGCCATTTAATGTTCATATAAAAGGTGCTAAAACTTCTTTAAGCTTGCACTGAGAATCACATGTGATGCCATCTATCACTAAGAGCAGTCCTTGAGATTTTTTTTTTTTTTTTTAAAGATGACCAGTAAGGGGATTTCAACCCTTGACTTGGTGCTGTCAGCACCACGCTCAGACAGTGAGCACACCGGCCATCCCTATATAGGATCCAAACCCGGGGCCTTGGTGTTATCAGCACCGCACTCTACCGAGTGAGCCACGGGCCGGCCCTCCTTGAGATTTTTTTAAAGTCCCTTATGTATGAAATGAACAGATGTTAATTCAGATGACCAGTTGTAAATATCAATCTCATTAATGCCAAAAAATAATCAAAGCAACTTTAGTAATAAGACTTTAGAGCTTTAATATCTTTGATGCCCCTCTTCCCCATTCAATTACCTTTTAATATAACTCCTTTCATAACTAATATTTTATGCCTCTTTATCTTGAAATTAGTAGGTAGTAATAGATCTATACAACTTTAAAATGTACATTAATGTCCTAACTAAGATATAAGGGACAAATGAAGTAATTTATAATAAAACAATATATAAACATTCACATTGTCTAAAGTTTAAACACAATGTAGTCAGATGTTTGCCCCTAAGAATCATCAAGAATACAACAACTTTCAAATACAGGCTTATTACAAAGTCTGTTTGATTATCATCAATGGCCTGACAAGGCAAGTTACAAGCAAAATCAAGTACAGTCTTCCCTTGATTTTTACAGAGTAGTTGCATTCCTGGTTAATTTTAAATGTTATTGAAGCCATAAAATAAAACTTTGTTTAAATATAAAACTAAATGTAAATGAAGGAGCAGCTGGACAATTTGTTACACCGGTCTGTGTACCTCTATGCATTAAAGGAAATCTAGCCTCACTGACCTCTGTCCACTCGTGTCAGTGCTGCCCTCCCCACCTGGGCAGAAACACTGGGTCAAAGGAATATACAAAATGTTGTGGGAGGTCAAAAGAGGAAATAACTATCTTGTTAAGAAATTAGAAGAATTTTTCTTAAGAAGGCACAAAATGAGCTGAATCTTATAGAGGTAAATAGGATTATACAAGCAGGTAGACAGTTTGGGGGAAGAAGGCATTCCAAGGTAGAGAGACCAGCATACGAAAAGGCACGACTGCACAAAGAGGTAGAAAGTCACTGAAGGTGGTACTCTTACAAAGGAAAAAGAAAGAAGAAAAACTACCCAATCACCAAGAGTACT